CTCGGGCTGCGGCGCGGCCCCGGGCGTGCTGGACGCGGCCCGGGAGGCGAGAGGCCTGTCGGCCGCCAACCCCACCCACCATGGCGGGCCCGGGCCGCAGCTCAGGGCCCGCGGCGGCCGAGGCGGCGTCTTCCTCTCCCAGACCCCCTTCGGACAAAACCAGGCAGACTGGAGAAAAAATTAAAAAAAATCCCCTCACCGAAATGTGCAGCGGCTCCAGGGCGAGAACGGCGCTTGATCCTCCACCCGCCACCACCGCCTTCTTCTCCGCCTCCGACTCCTCCCCCGCCGAACGCGCAGCGGCTGCAGCGGCGGCGGCGGCGGCGGCGGCGGCGGCGGAAGCAGAGGCGGTGGCGGCGGCGGCGGCGGCGGCGCGTCCCGCCCCCTGCGCCGCAAAGGAGGCGGAGGAAGTGAGCGCGCTAGTCCCGCCCCCTAGCGGCGCGGCCAATGGGCTCCTCGGACCTCTGCGGGGAAAATGCACGTGTCCAATCGGAGCCCGGGAAGTGGGCCTACGTCACGGTTGGACGTGGCAGAAAAAAGGGAAAATAACTTGGGCTGTCTCCCGGCCGGGCCCCGCGGGCTCTCTCCGAGCGCCTTCGCCGATTGGCCGAGGAGCGGGGGGGGGGGTGACGCGCTCGGCTCCGCCCCCCTCCCTGGCTCTGCGCCTTCCCCTGCAGCACTGCGACGTTTGGGGCGGGGGCGGGGCGCGCGGCCCGCGGTGGCGGCGCAGCCTTTTGTGGTTTGGGCCGGGAGAGAAGGGCGGGGTCTCCGGTAGGGAAGGGGGTGTGCAGAGCCCGACTGGCGCAGTCACCCTCCCCTCGGCTCCCGCAGACCCCGGCAAGATGGAGTTGCGGAATTCGGGCCCCAGGCCACTGGAAGCCCACCGTTGGCAGCTCTAGTACGGGAAGGGAAAATCTCCCGGCCGTTGCAGTTCCGAGAGCAGGGGGGAGAGGAAAGTGCCCGAGGAAGAGCTGGTTCGCCCACCTTGGCGAGCCTCCCCAGCTCGCCCTGAGCTCCGATGCTGTTCGGTTAGGGCAGGTGTAGGTGAGATGGAGGCCTGGCCTGACCGGGCTCCGGCAGCAGAAAGCTAAGCTAAGTCGGTTGTCAGGCTGGGGGTTAACAGCTCTCTTCACATGCAACCAAAATAAATACAGCAGCTGGAGCCCCTGGACACCTTGCTTAATTTAAACGCAGCCACACTGAGTTCGTTATGTCAGTGATGCACATGTCTTCTCTCATCCCGCAGCCTGCCCGCTTCTCTGGTTACAGTCCAGCTCTGCTCTCCTCCCCGCCCCCACCCCCGGCTCCATCGCCCAGTGCCCGAGGCCCAGGATATAGTTATCACGTCGCCTTCCCCACGAATTGAGAGCCCCGCTTCTTGTGATGTCCTTTAACTGTAAAATCTACCAGTGAGCCGAAACTATTTTTTTCTGCCATTGATGTAAACAAATTACCCGAGATTTTCCTTAGAATTCTAGGCTAGGAGAATTTGCTACACATTTTGTGAAACCACGTTTAATTCCAAGACCACCCTGGAAGCATCTATTTTACCAAAAATTTGATATTACTCTGTATTTTACTTGTTTCCAAGTCCTTGCCTTCTTGAAAGAGAATTTATATTTTAATTACATTTGTCTAATTTTCCTTTAGAGTCTTGTAGATTGGTGCAGTTGAACACACTAACAGGTTGACAGGTACAAGATTTCTCAAATTTCAAAGTTTTCACACCATATCTGTGTATACCGCTAGTATTATTTTTCTCATGTGAATGTATTTTTTTCAGTTTCTAAAGAGAATTATGAAAATACTGTAACTGGAAAACATCACTTTTCAGTTAAGTTGAGGGTAACTAACAAAAGTGAGTGCAAATAATACCTTTCAAATCTAGTTGCCAACTGTGATGGCTGTTCTTGGTTGTCAACTTGACGATCTGGAATGAACTACAATCCAGAACGGAGGGCACTCCTGTGAAAGATTTTCTGCTTGGTTTGAAATGTTTGCATCTGCTTTTAGTCAGGACCTTTGAGGAAGGAAGACACACCTCTGATCCCGGAAGACACACTGGCTTTTGATCCAGATCCTGAGGTAGGAAGGCACACCTTTAATCTCCGCCACACCTTCTGCTGGAAATCTTTATAATGACGTGGAAGAAGGAAGGTTTTGCTCTTTTCCTGCTCACCCTCGAATTGCCAGAACATCTGTTAATTCACTGGCCTTGGACCCTACTTCCTCAGGATTTCAGCATATACCGAAGACCAGCTGAGACACCCAGTCTTGTGGGACTGAGCAACTACTAGATTCTTGGACTTCCCTTTGTTGGACTGCAGCCTAAACGTCATTCCAATAAATACCCTTTACACACACACACCATGTATGTAAATATATATATACAGAGAGAGAGAGAACTTTGTCTCCTCCCTTTTCTTTCTTTCTTTTTCTTTTCTTTTGATTTTCAAGACAGGGTTTCTCTGTCTTGGACTCGCTTTGTAGACCAAGCTGGGCTCAAACTCAGAGATCTACCTGCCTCTGCCTCCCCTAGTGCTAGGATTGCAGGTGTGCACTACCATGCCTGGCTTGGAACTCTTTCTTAAAAGGGTACATTATCAAACATTAGATATAGAATAGAGACACAGCACTTGAATGACATTGTTATTGTTATGTCATCAAAGAATAGAAAAAAATAGATAGATCCTCTCAGTGTGAGTCATTGTTTTAATTCTGCAAGTGTGTCCTAAGTACAGTCACCTAAGATATCAGAAATGATTTATGTTGCAGTCCAAGAAATTCTGGGATAGAGCCTCAAAGTAGGAACCCTAAACTCAGACTGATCTATTCTCTCACTAGCTCCTGCTTTATAATTGTTTGCCAGTCCCGTGGGAGTGGCAAAGCCTTCCTTCAATGGGGCTCAGAGCAGTGCCATAGGTGAATGTTGATAGTGTGTTCAGAAAATGCCCAGGCAGCTCTCTTCCCACCCCATTTTTATGTCTTGAAGACTGCTCTCCTACAGAGACTGCTCTTAAGAGATTAGCTAACCTTGCCTCCTTGTGTATCTATAGGCAATAACCCTACCTACCTGTTCAATTGTATAAAATAAACACACCAAACTTGTAGGATGCTACAACTTCTACATCAGATAGGCCAGACTATTATCCCAGCATTTCTGTGTCCAGGTGTCTGTCTTTTCTTCATTCCCTCAAAGCCCCAGCTAGAACAGTCTCCAAGGCTATGCAAGGATGTGGCAAGTCAAAGCCAGCACTCATCTCTAGTAGCTGTGATGGAGAGCCTATTGAAAGAGTAGTAAGGATAGGGATGCCCACTCTGTTGGTGTGGCTTGTTCTGGGTATGGTTTGTCCTGAAGTTGGGCATCTCAGTGATGAGTCTCCCTGGATTAATACCAGCTCTTGGTACACTGGGTTGTTTTGTTTTCTTCTGAGGAGGGTAGAAGTTTTCTTGGTAGCCCAGTGTGACTTTGATGTAATTTTATATTTATTAGGAAAGTGTAAGCTAAATAAACCCCTTTCTCCCCAACTTGCTCTTTGGCCATGATGTTTTATCACATCAATAGAAACCCTAAGACAAGATGGTTCCAGCATGGTGGGGTATTGCTGTGGCAGACCTGACCATGTTTTGGGGAGGATTGTAGAAGGACTTGGGACTTTAGGCTACAAGAAGCATTGAGTGTCAAGACCTCAGCAGATGTTCTGTAGGAGCTTGGAAGACGAGAATGTTGAGAGCAGTGCAGACCTTGGAGGCCTGGCTTGTGAAATTTCAGAGGGAGGATTAAAGACTCTATCAGGGCTTTTGCTATTTTGATTTATGATTCCGTAGATGCTGATTAGTTAGAGCTAAAAAATTAGCAGTGATTAAGAAGGTACCAGCATCACTATCTTCTGGGAAGTGTTTCCTGGGAGCACAGAGAAGCTGTGTTCCAGAGGCGGCCATTGTTGTCCCTCATGTCGGCAGCCAGACTTGCTAATGTGTAAGACTCAGCCAGGTCTGACTGGTTTTGAAAGCATGAAGGTCATGGAGACCAGCTGATGCTTAGCACTGTGAGAGGCCAGGGTAGGCCATTGGTGAAGGTGCAGCTTCAGTGGCAGTTGAAGGCCCAAGACAGAAAGGATCAGGCAGAGAAGTTGAGGCATGGCGCCAGGAAGAGAGCCTGGTATTGTCTCTTGGTAAAAGCGCAGCCCAGCTGAAGCAAGGGACCCCAGCAATTTTGGAGATGCCAGGACCATGGGATGACCTGATCTCACCACCAGCAGCAGCCATGGAGTGGAGCCAGCCAGAGCCTAGAGCACAAGTTGTGTATGCTACAGAGGGCAGAGCTGGAGAAGTGATCTAAGCAGTTTGAAGGAGCCCAGAAGACTGTGTGTGGATCCCAGACGCTGAACATTCAAGTTATTCATACTGTTGTAGTTTAGTTTTGCTTAGTTTAAATTGCGACTGCCCTGGTTCTTCCCTCTTGAAGAAGGTATTTAATTTAACTTTCATTTTTATAGGCGCTCACAGCTGAAACACCTTGAACTTTTAAAAGAGATTTTTTTTTTTTTAGAGAGATTGGATGTTTTAAAGAGACTGAAATTTTAACTTGTAAAGACTGTGAGATCCTTAAAGTTATTTTTATTTTTATTAATTACAGTGTATTCACTCTGTATCCCCCCTGTGGCTCCCCTCTCCTCCCCTCACAATCCTACCCTTCTCCACCCATATCCCTCCCCAAGTCCACTGATAGGGGAGGTCCTTCTCTCTTTCCTTCATTTCCTAGTATATAAGGTCTTATCAGGAGTGGCTGCATTGTCTTCCTCTGTGGCCTGGTAAGGCTACTCCCCCTTCAAGGGGAGGTGATCAAAGAACAGGTCAATTAGTTCATGTCAGAGACAATCCCTGTTCCCCTTACTAAGCTACCCACATGGACACTGAGCTGCTATGGGTTACATCTGTGCAGGGGTTCTAGGTTATCTCCATGAATGGTCCTTGGAGTACAGTCTCAGAAAAGACCCCTGGGCCCAGATTTTTTGGTTCTGTTGCTCTCCTTGTGGAGCTCCTGTCCTCTCCAGATTTTACTATTTCCCCCTTCTTTCATAAGATTCCCTGCACTCTGCCCAAAGTTGGGCTGTAAGTCTCAGCATCTGCTCTGATACCCTGCAGGGTAGAGCCTTTCAGAGGCCCTCTGTGGTAGGCTTCTGCCCTGTTCCCTGTTTTCTACCTCTTCTGATGTCCATCCTCTTTGCCTTTCTGAATGGGGATTGAGCAACTTAGCCAGAGTCCTCCTTCTTGATTAGTTTCTTTAGGTGTACAGATTTTAGTATGGT